CACTGCCCAATTTTGCAAGTGAAAGCTCTTTGTGTTTCTGTAGGCATGTCCCTATACACACCTAGAAGCCATAAGCCTTAGACATAAACCCCACTGGGCTTGTGCCCTGCCTGTGTCATATGTTAGGATCTGGTCTAAAATTTTCCTTAGTCCTGTTATGTAGAAGCATTCTCCCCATTTACCATTTAGTTGCATCCCTCTGCTTGCCACATTTGTCCTGTTTGCCTTGAGTGTGTGTGAGCCCTGAGAAGGGATGGAGTCATTGGACAGTATGTTTTCCTGGAGCTGTTGCATTATGTGTGGAAAAAACATCGTCTATAGGTGGAGAGAAGGAAAGAAGCAGTCTCTAGTTGAAGGGCTGAAACATACAGCAGTAATACACACCTAAAGCCTTCTGAAAAACAAAGCTTACATCATGTATTCTGTCCAGCATTCAGTATTGCCTCTATATTGCCTCCTAGACTGGCACAGTCCATGCACAGGCTGTTGTGAATCGTCCTCCTGGGCATCTGCCTTTCCCTGATACTGTACAGTGCTGTACTCAGAACTTTGGATTCTGGTAGGCCTGAGAATTAGGTGTTCTTATTATGGCATCATCTGTGGTGAACCTAGTTTCAGGCAGGAACTGTTTCTTCAGGTTCCTGTACAAAATCAAGGACATGGTCGATACCTAATTAATAAAATCTGTACTTGAACTGTAGCCAGGACATTCTAAAGTGCTAAGTAATGACTTTGGGTTTTATTGGCTGTTAATATTATAAACAAAGAATACAGTTACACTGTGGCAATCAGCAAGAGTCTAAACACCAGAAGTTAGGCCACTAAAAATTGTGCAGTTAGATGAAAATTATGAGATTTTTGCAAAAGAATAAATTGAGACTTCTTTTTATTTGTCCTTTATTGTGTTTTACCTTCTCAGGTGCAGTTGAGTCATGCTTTTGAACTTCTTTTGCACAGGAACTAAAAGTTTCATTTTTTTTAATGAGAGACAGTGTGTTATAAGCATGACTGGAAGTTGGATCTTTAAGGAAACAACGAATATTGAGAGTTGGCAACAGTAAAGTCATTGCCAAGAGGAGAGAATCCAGTTTGGTGTAATACTTTCTGTAACTGGGTCACCCCGTTCATTCATTGGTTTGTAGCCAGCATTTTCTGTTGTTATTTATACTATGATAATTTGTAGCAGGCAGCAGAGCAGATAATGAGGAAGAAGAAGAAGAAGAGGAAGATGAAGAAGGTTCAGAATCAAGTAGTCCTCCTGTTTCTTACCAGATGAAACCTCCCCCAGAAGGATGTTGCACTACTGATGGTAAGAAATGCACTAACCATGCTGTCAGAAGGCATTTGCCCTACTGGAAAGGGTAGGATTAGGGCTATTTTCCCTGTAATTCCTCAGAATGAGATTATCTATATGATATAGAAAACTTAAAAATGCCAGTGTTCATTACCTGCCAAATAAAGCTGGGTTGCTCTCAGTGTCTCTTATGTTTGACAGGGTCTTTGTTCAGTCTGTCAGATAAGCATTTGTGTTGGAATGCCTGGCACAAGGACAGAATTTCTGTTCTCTTAGGCAATGCAACCTTTAAAAGGTCGAGTTTGCAGACATGATGTTTGCTAAGAAGACTGTGATAATTCTTATGGCTTTATCATCACTCTTTTCTGTTTAAAGTCTACCTCAGTCAATGTTGCTGTTAAAAATATTCAAAACCCCAGGAAAAGCCAGTGAAATTCACCGGATATTGAGAACTACTACCTCAATTTTTTGAATGTCTGACCTAAGTTATGATGATGTTAGTAAATAGTCCCATAAATATGTAGGCAGCAAAATATCATCAAGAGAAATTTCATTGTACATTTTCAAGTTTTTGCTTGTTTATTGTACTGGTGGAATCTTTAAGGCAGTCTGAAAGTCAGGGAAGAAAACGATTTTTTAGTTTGCCCTTGATCTTAGAGGGTTTCTCACAAAAAAATATAGGAAGTCTTTAATGAAGAGAATTGTAAGCATTGAACAAAAATTCTTGTCAACTTAAAATACATTGAATTGATTTTTTTTCTAGGTTTCTGCCAGGCTGGTAAAGATTTGAGACTGGTTTCAATTTCCAATGAACATATTGAGGTGCCTTCTGGGTTTTTACTTGTTGGTGCAAAGTCACCAAATTTACCTGATCACCTTTTAGTGTGCGCTGTGGATAAAAGGTTCCTGCCAGATGACAATGGGCACAATGCCCTGTTGGGTAAGTGTGATTGCAGTAAGTGTATTCTTTTGTGGGCTTCCATTAATAGCTAATTGTTTTTTGCAGAGTGAGTTCAGCAGATCTGATTTCTGTTTCATGTCTATAGTAATGCTCACAGGTGATGTGCAAGAAGATAACAACTCAGCTGGCTGTGTTTGCCTTGGAAAGACAGAGTGAGCCAGTTTGTTAGAGATGCTTCATCACTTTTTGTCCCTTAGTCCAAGGCTAAAGTCATTCTCCAACCAGTTTATGTCCTAGTTGCTGGAACTGCACATGTGGTAACTGGACTAGTTGAACTGCTGCATGTCTCTATTTTAGCTTTCCAAATACTGGTGTGGACAGACTGTAGGTCTGTCAAGTGAAACTTTCTGGCTATTATTTACATATAAACAGTTTGATGATAGTTTGGACTAAAAAGAATTATGACCTTTTGATTTATCTCTTTGAGATAGGGATAATATTCTCCACTGTGTTTGAACATTAGTCTGGGTTCTGGATCCCAACCTATGACTTGTTGCTGTAATCACAATGTAAATAAATATGAATTATTATAAGTTTAAGATTTTATGTGTATAATCAGTTAATACTGTGTGTTTGAATAATATTGTTAGTAGGATACTTCAATTTCTTGCCTTTAATCTTTTTAAAAGTCTAACTTCTGACATAAAAATAGCTCCTTCCATCTATTTTTATTATAGTCTTTCTGATTGCCATTAACCTCATCTAAATCAAGCCAAATAGGGAAGATCCGAAATAATGTGAATTAATGAACTGAATATTAATGTTATTAAAATGGAATAGTTTTTATACTGGGAAATATAACTGGAGGAGGAATTCATTTTTCAATCTGGCACTCTCAGGTTCTTAAGTATTATTTTCTTACTTAACCAAAAATGATGCATGATATATCTTTGCACCAGTCCAGGCTTTGAATAGCAAAAAGGAAACATTTGTCATGTCTTTTAAGAGGTTTCTTTCACAAACACTGAGGGATATGACATGAACTCGGTTGTTATCTCAGTTTGAGCAACTCTTCGAAGCATTTAGGCTGACAGTGTAGTGTGAAGGTGCATAATGTAATTGTATGTACAGTAATTTCTTTCTTCATGTGATCTTGTAGAGTTGGATTGGTCACAGTGCATTTGCCCAGTGATTGTAAAAGAATTAGGAGGGTTGTAAATCACCCACGTGTTGTCATTTTAAAGATAAAGACAGGAATGTTGTACCACTCAAGTCATTCAGCCCTAGCACTATTAACAGCTTAAGCTCCTTAGGCTGTTAGCAGAGAGGAAGTAGTGTATTTGTTAATTGCATGCTAAACAAGAACAGAAAAAGGCAACAGGAACATAATTGGGAGGGTTTTATGCTAGTTGTATCCTCACTTTGCTTATTACATACATTTTAGTTTCCTGAAACCATTTAAATGCTTATTTTTGACTGTTGTTACTCACTTAAACCCCAGTGAATAACATTCTTTTACAAAGAATTTTATTAAGTTTGTAGTACAACTTCTATGTATTCTATAACAAGCTGAAATATGAAAGAACTTACTTTAAAATCCAAAGCCTTCATCTGGAATCTGGAAATAAAATAATGTTCCTGGCCTTGAATCTAATGAAAAAAATTTACATATCATACTAACGTGAGGACAGAATACTATTTGTACAATAGGTCATACTGTAGATAGAAAAGATTGTTTGATTCAGGTTTTCGTGCACACATGTGAGTCAAATCTGGGTAAGTAAAATTAGAAGCAGACATGAATAGTCTCATGGTTTCAGACACAGAGTGGGATAAAAGAACATTCTTGTTTTAAATTGTCTATTAGCATAGCACAGTGACCTCCGTTTGGCAATAGTTTGAAACCGAAAACATGTCATATGAAGAAGGGAAACTCTTTTTAATGTCTTGCTTTTCAAGACAGCATAGAAGCCTTATTTTCGGTATTCTGAGTTTAGGTTATTCTCCATCAAACATGTTGGTCTTCTGAAACAGCGTGGAAAGTGTGAAGTCCCTTCAAGCTTTTGTAAGTTTAGAAGGAAATTGAACTGGATTCATTTTTAATTGAAATGAGCTGTAATGAGTCAGACTATATCCCACTTATTTGTGATACAGGCACATCATTTGTAACCCTTCAATCCCATTTTTTGGGGCTTAATGTCATGCTTTTTTCCTCTTAATATACTGTATTTTTGTAAGGCAACTGTTACTCAGTACTGTGGATTTTTTTCAAAACAGTTTATTTGAAGGGAGAAGACACTAATTAGTTAACGATTAGTTTCCTGATTTCGCATGGTCTGCCTGCATACATTTGTGAAGATGCCTGGGAATTGCACAAAAATTCCAGAAGAAAATATGAAAGTTTCTGGGCCAGATTTGATTTATGGCCTTCTTCCCATTAGGGATGGTTGATATGCCTCTGGGGCATGTGCCAGATTATTATGCTAATATATTGTCCCACCATCAAGTCATATGTGCTTGTGATTTGAAAGTAATTTCTGTTGGTGGTTGCTTTGTTTCTCTGTTTTTGCAATTGATGTATTCTTCCATAGGAAAAAAAAAATCCTGTTTTCTGGAAGACTATATTTTTGGCAAGCAAAATATTTACTGTGTTTAGGCATGTTCCTCACATGATTCTGTTAATCATGTTAGATCACAGGTTTAACTACTTCGCAAAACAGATTCAGTTTTTTGCCTTTAGGAAACTTGTTCTTGAGTTTTATGATACCTAAAGGAATGCTTAGATGGGGGAAGTGATATGTGATAGTGCGATATTTATTGTTTCCTAATTAAAGCAGCTAGCATGTACCACTCCCAAAGGTTTTTTTCGCTTTTTTTTTTCTTTTTTTTTTTTTTCCAGTTCTCACTCTTAAGGAGAGTCTCTCATGATAAACAAAGCAGCTATTCACCCATCATTTTCCCAAAAGACCAAACAGCTGCCTACTTTCCTAGCAGGGAACAAGAAATCCCTTTTTTTATCCAGTGGGTCCCTGAGGTCAGAATGACAAGAGGAAGAGATTAGTTTGCTTGCATTGTAAGCTGTGTGTAAGATGAAAACATTGTAGTATAAAATACTGTGACTGCTTCTGCTAAAATATGCAACGTTCTGTTGGGCTTTTGTAATAGTACTGAGTTTCCATTCAATGGAGCTCTCCAGCTTAACTATATTGATTTAATTCATTTTTTAAATTTAGGACTTCAGTCTTCAAATGGAGTGGTACTGAGTAGATGGCAAAAATGTGAAGCATTGTCAGTGTTTGTGTGCTTTTTCCTGTGAGTAGAACTGAAAAGAAGAAATGCCTTATGCTGAAAAGTTGAAAATATGATCATGCTTTGTTTAAGCAAGATGCCAACTTTCCACCAAAATATTAATGTTAATAAAAATCCTATTATTCATTTAAAAGATAAACAGGAAAAAAACTTTCTGCCAATTTATGAAATACATGCTAATGAAATTTTATTCTGAAATCCTCTCTTTATTCCTAGCACAAGGTTCAAAGGAACCATTTTCCCAGTGAGAGGGCAGGTCAGGTTTCATACCCTTTTGGTCCAAGGCCCTTCTTCTGAGCACAAGGTCCCTGCTGGGGAAGAGCTTTTAAAATTATGAACGATTGATCATTGTGATGTGAGAAAATTCGAGCAAATGCATATGATAAGATACAAATACAATCGAACACCTTCTGATTAAACAATTTTCAGAGGGTAACAGCCTTAAGTCACTACCAAACTGAGCTGGGTATGAACTGGTGACCTAAAGGTGAAAGGCTTTTAGCCCCTGAACTCCGGGCATTGATTTCTAATTCTCTTGTGAAACCAATCCCGTGACATAGATATATTGAGTCACCTTATGGCTGCCCTGACTTCTCTGACCTTTGTCCTCTCTATAATGTATGGAAGAATATTTAATGCAACTTGTTTATGAAACAAGCTGTCCCTTCTATCAGCTGCTGCCTTGTGCCACAGCACATGAGCAAGGCATTTGAAGAAGGAGGATGATGAAATGTTTGAGTTCTCCATGTTACTCAGTCTGCCATGTAAAGTGCTATGAGCAGGGTTGGCAGAGCCCTGCAATGAGTAATGATTGAACAGCATTTTATTGCATTGGAATTATAAGATCATGCTGTGTTCTATCTGATGCCAGGGCTGATCTGCATTAATGAAGCAATGGCTGTCAGGGGGAATGGGATGGAAAAGGGTGTTGGCAGGAGCTTGCAAGAAAGGACTGAGTCTCACTCAGAGGAGCTGGAGAAGCTTGAGGTGAAAGATGATAATTTAACATAAAAAGAAAATTAGAAAAAATAACTTGTAAAATGTTCTCAAAAGACTTTTCAAAACAAGTGGAACATTAAGAGCCACTTAATCCTTACTAGGCCTCACCTATATACTATATGTGGTGTAAACTAATTTTCCAGTAGATGCCGCAGAGTTAAAAATAGGTGATTAGGGCAAAAAGATATTTCAGGTAGAAGTTATTGCTACATCTGGTTTAGGGAGATGATAATTTACAATAATGGCTGAAGTCCAAATGAAAACGTTTTATGTCCACTGTCCAACTTTGGATGAACAAATATTTCTACCTGTGGCTTTATCAAATTGCTGGACACTCCCAGCAAAATGATAAAACCTAAAAAGTACATTTGGAAAAAAAAAAAGTGTAAATTTGCAAACATCTAAGGGCTTGTAAATGGCAATCAGGCAAAAAATTGCAGTGCTGCTGCTGGTCATGCTCAGTGTGCCGCCAAATGTATGGGAAAATTTCATTTATTAACAGAAACATTTTTCAGGATTGCTTAATCAGCATTAAATGCATACAAACTCCACAGCTTTTGCCACATCCGCTCTAGTTTTGTTTCCTTTTGTTGTTGCTTTTATTGCAGCTACTTGAAGGCTCTGTGATGTTAGACAGATGCTTTTGTGCTGACTGATATAAGACAGAGGATTCTGCAGAGTCATGACTTGTCCTGATTTTATGAGTCATAATGACCTTTATCATCCTACTGACTAGGATCAGAGAGATAATAGGCAGCTTTCAATAGTTGTTAGCCACTTGTTCCCATGGATACCAGACCAATTTCCATGTCAACTTAGGTTTTTAATAAATTGTTCTGAGCCATTTGAAAACTAATGTAAGTTCTTGGGTTGTAAGCCAAGCAACAGATGTTTACAGAGCATTATATTTTAGTGCTTGTACTTTACAGAAGGAAAAAGTATTGACCATTTATTTGTAACTTGTTTGAGGTATGTGATTGAAATAATAGTTTTCATAAATGGCTTTTAATTTTCTTTACTGTATTATTGATCCTTTACTACAGTAATTTCTTTCCAATGTCATTTTGCACGTGTTATGCAAAATATATTTCCTTCATTTTAGCCATCTTTCACTTCACTGAACACAACTTTCCATTTCAATTCCTGTTACGACACATAAAAATGTTCATTAGATATTAGAATAAAAGAAAACATCATGCTTCAGGTCATGT